TTGAGGAGAGTGTTTCTGTTGAGATTAGAAGCTTTGGCGATGGATTCTTTGATTATTTTGGGTGGGTAATTCCTATTTAGAAAGTGATTGTAGAGTTGTCTGATGTGTAAGTCATGATCTTCTTTGTGAGAACAGATGCATTTGTTGCATAAGCATTGGCTGTATAGATTTCTTTAGGTTTTTGGGGTAGCAACTTTTGAAATTGAGGTAGCAGTGACCATCAGTAAGCTTGGAATAAAGTGTAGTGGAGATGTGTTATTTTTGAGATGTACCATTGTGTCCAGAAACAGAATGGAAGTGAGGGAATATTCCATAGCGAATTTGATGGTGTGGTGGAAGGTGTTGAAGATTTTTAAGATCTAGGAGATTGTTCTCTCTGTGTGTCTATGTGAAGATGTCGTCTATGTACCTGTGGTAGTGTAGGGGTGTCAAGTGGTACCTACTAAACATATCTTGTTCAAAGACATCCATGAAGATATTAGCAAAGCTGGGGGCCATTTTCAGATTTATACTAATAATACCATCCATGAGGAGTTCACACTAGCCAAAAAAACCCCAAAAAACACCATTGATGAGTCTTCCCCATTTCTCTGTTTAATTTGCGCATCGTTGATGAAGGACACAGGCATGCCCCAAAATTCCAGACTAATAACATAAATCTCTGTTTCATTTCTGTTTTGTGGTTAATAATTAATATATAATAAATATTTTTTGCACTGATCACATTGTTACCCTTTCGTTTTCCCTTGTTTTATTAACCAACCTATCTATTTTAAATACTACAAGAAGCACTCTAAACACACACACACACACATAGATATATATATATATATATATATATATATACATACATACCCAAGTATATAATTGGTGTATACAGAATGAATTCTAATAACCAACAATTACTATTCTTAAAAGAGTGCTCAATACAGAGTAGAGTAGAGCAGATATAATTATTTATTTAAAAAATAACATATTTATATTTGTTATAATTTTTTTAAATAAATAATTATATATAATATATATATATATATATATATATATATATATATATATATATAAAGATAATGAGCAAATAGAAAACGTTTATCAATGTAACATGAATCACTTTTATTAAAGCTTCACCAGAGACTGAGATATGAAGTAAAAGAAATTCTGGTATTTTCCTTTCATGTTGTTTGATTTTCATTAGTCTATGATATATCACGGGCATTAAAACTAAATATTTCTATATGTATTAAGTTGATAAAAATTCAAATTTGGCTATGTGGGAATCAGATGATGTGTACTCATAAGAATATAAATGAATATAAAATATCACATATTGGGCACTGGTGCTAATAAAATTATCTACTTAGTTCATTTACTTATTTGTTTGGATTTATTTTACTTGTTTTTGTTTATATATTTTTTTTGTTTTCAGTTTTCAGATTTTAAGTAGTGTAGTGAAAATTTGTTTTCACGTCTGCATTTTGAAATGAGTTCTGATCATTTATTTAGTAGTTTGTTTTGGTCTGGGAAGGAAATTATACCTATTTTTTACTCCAGGCAGAATTTGCAGTTTTTGGATTGTAGGTTGATGTTCTTTTTCTTATTTTCCATGATATTTTTGGTGTAATTTGTTTGTTTTTAATCTCCCAGATATGTTTGTGTTTGCATATTTACTATTTATAAAGGATATTTTGTATTTCCTTGTTTCTAGGGTCCTTCAGTTACTCCTATGTTGATTTTACAGTTTTCATTTATACATTGAAAACAGCTAACAAAGCACAGTGACTTAAGCTTTTTATTAAATTTTACTTGCATCCTTACAAGTATTTTCTTTTCTGGATATAATGCTTTTGACTAATCTATTAGCCATTATCAAAGATTTTTTTTTTTTATAGCAATGGGTATGCTTTAATTCCTAAATACAGCACATTGTGGCCTTGTTCATAATTGATATCATTGAGTGTTGGTTTCTTTTTTTATATTGTTATTGCTTCCATTATTTTTAAGTGTTTTCTGTATTTAGATGAGTGTATTATGCTATGGTGTCTTCTCTGAGTATGTTGTGAATGGAGGTCGGTAGGCCTCTGTATGTATTTAAATGGTTTGTAATGGAGCAATGATCTGAGAGATGCAAAGTATGTCTGATATAATTAATATCCATAAATTCATTTTTATTAGGAATGCAGTTCCATAAGGTATATGTAAATTCATAAATATTGTTGGTCCAATGTAGTTTGTATTTTGCTGGCAGGTAGTTATTGTTCATGATGAAGTTGGCCATTTTAATTTTTTTATAAGTAATCAACTTAATCTTGTTCAGGTTGACTGGAGTGCAAGCGTGTGTTTGTGTATAATATATATATATATATATATATATATATATATATATATAAAAGGAGCAGTGGATAAATTGTTGCCATTTTATATTTTAATTTCATGCATGTGTGTTTGTATTTTTTTTTTTTTTTTTGACTGCACAGTATAGTAGGGTCAGTCAGGCACTGTTTGTGAGTAAAAAGAGCACCATGATGCAACAGAAATTTGGAAACGGCATGCTGTACTGCTTGGTATTCGTATTGGAATGTTTGGATGTCAATCTGAGGACAGTGCAGAGGATTCAGAAAGAATTGGATGAGATAAATGGGGATTATGATGGTGTTTGGTGTGATCGCTAGTGATGGTAATGTTATGACTCCATTCATCTTCCCACAGGGCCTCAGACTCAACATGGAGATCTACATCAAGTGCCTTGAGGAGGTAGTGCTGCCCTGAACCAAGAGGGTGGCAGCTGGAAGATCCTATGTCTAGCAACAGGACTCTGCACCATGCCACACAAGCAGGAGAACTGGGTGTCAGACAATTTCTGTGACCACATCACTCCTTACATCTGATGACCTAACTCCCCAGACTATTAAGTGCAGAGTGTAGTTGAACAAGAGACCAACAAAACTCCTTGTAACACCAAAGATGAACTGAAGGCAATGATTATGGCAGCATTCACCAACTTTAAAAAAGAAGAGTTGCAGGAGATTCTGAAGTCGTCTGGAGGTCATGGTTGAAGCTATTGGTGATTTTATTAAATAAATTTACTCTTTAGTATTTAAAGATATTTTTGTGTAATTTTGGTAAATATATCTGTTAAAATGAGATGCCAGTGTTATTTTCATTTTGCATAATTTAGACGACAATTTATCCATCGCACCCTGTATATATAAAAGTGGGTATTAATGTCAACACCAAGCAACAACAATCTGTTTCATGTGTCAATGCAATCTTCAGACCATATAAATAATTATATATAATTTTTTGTAGTACTTTTGCTTTTATGTGTGCAATTATATAAAAATGAATCCTCTCATACAGTAGTTCTCAGAGTCCACATTCATCCTCTTATGATCTTCAGGTTTGTTCAATTCCTTTCCAACTTAGAATTAACTTTCCTTTTTTCTCTCTCTCTCTCTCTCTCTCTCTCACTCTCTCCTACTCCTATTATATAAATTTTTTTTTTTTTTTTAAAAGCAAGGCATGAAGCCACTAGGATGCAGGGGGGTTGCAGAAGATTTGGAGCAAGAGCAGATAGGAGTGATAGAAGAAAGGATGAGGAGAGGGATAGTGGATAGATCAAGGTAACTGGAGACTTCGATTGACATTACATTTGAATAGTTGGAGATTATAGCTCTCAGGGAAACAGTAATTGGGAAGGGTGTTCCACAGGCGAGATGTGTGAGGTATGAAGCTATTGGAGTAGAAGAGACGGCTACATTTAAAAGTTTCTACAGTGTAAGGGTGGGAGCGGGATGCCAGCTTCGTAGGGAGCTTGAAGTCTGGGAACCAGTGAAAACAGCTCATCGGAGCAATTACCATGAAAGTATTTGTAGAAAAGACAGAGAGAGGTGACGGCGTGTCTGTGAGAGAGTGACTGTAGACGAGATGCCAGATCAGGGTCAATTATATATCCGTCTCTGGATCTTGTCAAGAACTCCGAGGTAAACAGAAGGTGCCCCAGACCATATATGGCAGCAATACTCCATGCAAGTGCGAATGGTTGATTTGTATATTTGAAGTATTGATTCCGGGGAGAAAAATTTCCTGGCGCAGCACAGAGCCAACTTTCCTCGCAGGGGACGAAGCAATGACATATAAATGGAATTCCTTCTTTTAAATAAAATTCTTCATTGGGGGTAGAAGTACTTATCATCATTTTACAATCAGTCCTACTACAAGGATCTGACATTGAAAGCTGTTGATATATTGGATTGTTTGAACTTAGTTCTTTGAATTTATATAGAAATAATAAATCTTCTTATGAAGGATTGTTTTGGGGGCTGCTTTGGCTTTTACTTGAAGTTTAATAGATTCAAAGAAATGTTCAATAACAAATTTTGGTTCATATTTTCACCAAACCACGAACATTATAAACCTTACTCATGAGTTCTCTTTAGAGTTGATATCAAGAGAATAGAAATAGTAAAACTTGGTATTTGCATATTACGCATTCCTGTAGTTTCTTTGACGGTTATATAATGGTTGTATTCGGTCTCCCCATGAATTATTCAGGCAACTGCCACCATTGCAATTCTTTGAGCATACAATAAATGTGCATACAAATATCAGTGTTTTGTCCTGTGGAGTTAGTTGAAACAAGGTGAAATATGGGCTGTACACTTGCATGTTATATGTAAAGAAATTAGCGTATGGTGAGAAGACTGTCCCAGTGCCACAACCAGCAACTAATATTGGGATCCTCTTGTAGCCATTGGTAGCATAGCAATTTCTTACTAATATTCCTGCAACATGAGATGTTTGAGCAACTTTTCCAACCAATCGAACCTGCAAAGAGAAATTGAATAACAATGCTTATTCTTACCATTAAAAAAGGAGAAATTTTTAATATGTTTAAATATCATAAAAGTAATTCTTTTGAGATTGCTAAAAATCTTACAATTTAAGAGGATGGAGACAATTGGTTACAAAATCGCAAAGAACTTTACAAAAACCACATCGGTTTATGGTCACATCACATTGAAACACCAGTTCCCATATGATCACTGAAGTTAAGCAACATTGAGCCTGGTTAGTAACTAAATGGGTGATGGTTTCAGAATACCAGGTTCTGTAATCTTGGATGTGTTGGTGGTGTAATGGATAATGGCTCAGAATTGTTAATTGCAGAGCTAAGTTCTAATTCCTGTTGGGTTTGTTATATTCACTTACATGCAAATACCCTTGGGAATGTAATGAATCCACTTCTCCCCCCAGCTATGAGTTAATTAGTAAGCCTTGTATCACTAAACCATTACTATCTCAAAAAATTTTCTGGCTTTAAATAACCTGCAATAGGTTGATAAGCCGTAGTAAATGAATGAATCAATTAATAAAAAAAAAAAAATAAATCCTTTGAAGACTTCCAGTAGCAGTAACAAAAATGGATAGCACGTGTAACAAGAGGAGGAAAATAACTACATAATCAAAATGTTGAATTTGCACATGATCTTAAACAAAAGTTTAGGAAGGAAACTCCTCTCAGTGCTAGGAAGAGTGACTTGTCAGTGGACCTGAAAAGCATATTTATCTGAAAAATTATTTTAAGAGAAAGGTTTTATAAATTTTGTCCAACAGTAACTCTCAATGTTTGGTCAGTGAATGCCAAATGTTTCCTTATAATGAAATGGTTAATTTCACCATTGCCATTATTAGTCTTCAACTTAACACTGTCCTTTGGTAAAATTTTTTTATAAATGTTCCATCAATTCAACAGTAGTGGATCCTTATTTAGAAAATGTATGTCCCAATGTATCTCTAAGTTTACATTTAGGTTCATGCATTAAATGAAACTTGGTTCTTCCAACAAGACATTTTAATCATTATAAACTAGCAATATTACCCATCAAAAATGACAGGATCATTTGTACATAGATTAGTATCAGAATTGCCAATTTAGTTCATTTGGAGATAAATCTCTCTTTCATATTTAGGTAAATCTGAATAAACATACCCGCAATAAGATGTAGTGTCAAAAGGACTGTTCTTCCCATGATACCGCTTTCTTAACAACCTTCACTATTTGGCAATGTTTATTGTCTTAAAAAGTATATTTCACAGTATTATTTGTGTTCGTCTACCAGCCTGAATATTCAAGATCTTATTAAAGAAAAAATATGTGTTATCCAGCGGGATTTGAACCTGCATCCCTGCAGAGGGAATCATCGTTAGCTCCAACATACTTTAGACTGGCTCGGCCATGAAGAACTTTTGCAATCAAGCAATTAAAGCTACAAAACACAGTTTACCTTACTATTAATCAATATCTATTAGAAGAAGAGATGGATTCATGCCTTTCATAGCCTCCCCATAACCTTCCTGGCGAACTGACCAATGGTGAGATCCAAACCTAGGTCTCTTGGTCAGAAAGCAAACTTTCTAAGGACGTACCCATATTATTTCATATAGATAGTGAGTTAACTGATTCAGCCATAGAAGTTAAACAATGTCTCTATCATTTGTGTATTGGCCAGTAGGATCAATCCTATTGGACAATGGACAAATGATATCTTACGGCCATCTTATGACTGAATTCCGAAATAAACATTTTTTGGAATTATCTATTACTTCAGAACACAGAAATGATGGCAAACATGGACGTTGGTGCCCACAAAAAGATGGAGCATCAAAAGGATGGTTTTTCCTATGACACCACATTTTTTAACTATCTTCATTCCTTGGCGATGTTTATTGTTTTTAAAAAGTGATGATTAGAATTTGAATAAAACCTAAACATATGATGATAGTGAATTTATACATTTTCTTTGTTCTTGAGAATTTGAGGAGAAAATAATGATATAAGATGTTGATATTCCTCACTACTTCAAACAAAACGTTAGGAAAGAAACCTTCAATACTGTAAAGAGCAATAAGAGTGGACTTGAGAAACCTATTATCCCGAAAAATTGTATTAAGAGAAAGATTTTATAAATTTCAAGCAACAGTAGTACTGGCTGCTCAGTCAAGGAATGCTGAATATTTCCTTATAAGCAAATGGCTAATATTACTTTACTCAAAACCCAATTTTTATTAAAATCTGAGTAATCATTCCATGCTCTATCAGGGGATATTGAAAAATTCCTAGCACAAAATACGATTTTCTTCAAAGTCGATATTCCATTTCAGGAACTGGGGTGAGGTGAGAAGTTTGCAGAAATATATATATATGAGGTGAGAAGTATGCAAAACCCCTCATATATATATATATATATATATATATATATATATATAAGGGGTTTCTGCATAAATTACGCAGCACTTATTTCGATTAACCTTCTTACGTAAATCGATTACTTCTTTACTTATATAAAATGTAAAACCTCTTAGTTCGAAATAATATAAGTAACAGGTGATTATAAAAAGGCACTATTGAATATTTATGACTAATTTGCTTAAATAATGCATTGACTGTTGTTTGTGTTATGCAAAATAATTGTAAGTAAAATGATGCACTAAAATAAGTAATCAAGTAATCGTTTATATATATATATATATATATATATATATATATATATATATATATATATATATATAACATGAATCATGGTAAACACATTGAAAGACTGGTTCTCACATGATCACTGCAGTTAAGCAACACCAAGCCTGTTTAGTTACTCGATGGGTGACTGTTTGGAAATACCATAGGCTGTAAGCTTGGATGTGCAGGTGGTGCAATGGATAATAACTCAGAATTGGAGATCAGAAAGTCATGTTCCAATTCCAGGCACATTTATTATAATAATTTACATGCAAATACCCTTGGTAAAGGTATGAATCCACCTCTTCCCCCCCCAGCTATGGGTCAGTTAGTAGGACTTGTATCATTAAATCATTATCATAAAAAAATTCTTAGTCTAAAAATATTTTCTGACTTTAAATAACCTGCAAGTGGTTGATAGACTGTAAAAATACAAATCAATCAATCATGATAGGTAAAAGTTAAAATATGAAAAAACAATTTTAAGCGAATATTTAAATCTTTAAAAAAATCAATGAACTTACCTTTCTCCCAACATAAAATTGTTCGTGAATTCTTTCTCCTAAAATGTTTTCCAAATGCAGAATCATTTTTAAGTTACTCCTTCTCCCGTTTTCCACAGAAATTTCCTCAAAGTTGAGATAGTTTTCCATCAAAGCAATTTCCGAAGTTTTGACGCTCTCATGTGGCTCATAAGAGCAAGTAAGAACTTTCTTTCTAAAATTTAAACAGTATGAAGAGACTTTCTCACAACAAACAACAGTCAAACCATAGAGTTGCTGATTATCAAATTTGTTCATCTGGCAAACATCTCTTTTAGGAATTCTGTCGTATATTGGAATCTTTATTTTCATGTAACCTGAAATGAACTTTAATTTTAGATTTATCGACTTAATACTGAAAAGATGATTGAATCAAAGTACATTTAAAATTTACAAAGTTGAATGCAAAAAAAAAAAATGGCTGTTTTGAAATGTCCTGGATATGACGATAAACTACATCCACATCCTAAGTAAGACAATGAACTACATCCAACAGCAAGGCCTCTGATCAGGAGGTTTTGAGGAACATGGAACCACCTCTTAATTGCTGGTGTTTCCAGGTCCGCCCTGACCTGGGGTGGTAGCACCTGTTAGGGTCCCAGCCATGGACAAATAGTTAACCAACAAATTTAAAGGGGACTAACATGCCTTAGGTAGGCTATTTTCTGGTTAAATATTAAATGGCTGGATAGTTTCTGAACTGATCTTGTATAACAATTGCTGCTCGGAGACAAATTCTGTTAACATTGTTGCCATATTCATTACAACGTTTCAGCCATTGTATGCTCCAGCCTTCTTCAGGTGGTTCGAATATCGAACTCAACCCTTTATTTCACTCACTGGGGTAGACTGTTCTAGTTCCACATGCCATGTCTAATGGATGTCAGTTATCAGTTATCTCCTGTTAATTCCACTCTCCAAGTTCTCCACTGCCTTAACCAGGTATTGAACTCACACTCTTTGGGTCCTGTCACTGGATCTAACCAATGCTTTTATCCACTCTGCCATGTGTCCTTGAAGACCGGGTCATACAACAGCCGAAATGTTGTGATAAATATGGCAACAAGGATGAGGACAATAATCTGAATAATGTAAATAGTGCAGCAATACATTATTTAAAAAAACATTGCCAGAAATACTTTTTAAAAAAAAAAATATTACCAGCAATAAAAATCTTGTCGGCATTAAATAACCCATTGAGGTTTTATATGCCATAAAACAAACCAAACCTGTTTTGAAACAATAGAAATATGGTTTCAAGAGTTCATGCCCAGGTGAGAAAATATTTCCCAAATGATGCATTGTAGTCGGGGATCAAGAATGCACAAAGAAAAATAATGCAGGTGACTTGAAAATAAACAATAATATTGTGGATCCTGAATTTGTGATTTCAAACTTTTTCTCAATTAATCTTTGCCTTGAATTGACAATGTTAACAGAATTTGTCTCAGAGCAGCAATTGTTATAAAAGATCAGTTCAGAAATTATCCAGCCATTTAACTCAAAAATAGTCTACTTAAGGCATGTTAATCCCCTTTAAAGTTCTAATTTTGAATCCTTACATACTTTTTGAAAGTTTTGAAAATCCTCTTTCGGTATTAACATCGACTTCCTTATTTCATTCTTCTTAATCTTGACCACAGTCAGTTTAACACTGATTTTTAATTTTGGGGAAAGCCAAAAGTTGAATGGAACCAGTAACTTACCTAAGTAATGCAATGTTTTGCCAAAAACATTCTTGGATAAGATTTTGATTGGTACACTATTTACATTATTTGGACTATTGTCTTCATCTTTGTCACCATGTTTATCACAATGTTTCAGCCATTGTATGCTCCAGCCTTCTTCAGGTGGTTGGAATGTCGAACTGAACCCTTTATTTTGCTCACTGGGGTAGACTGTTCTAGTTCCACATGCCATGTCTAATGGATGTTAGTTATCTCTTGTTAGACATGGCATGTGGAACTAAAACAGTCTACTCCAGTGAGCAAAATAAAGGGTTCAGTTCGACATTCCAACCACCTGAAGAAGGCCAGAGATGAGGACAATAGTCGGAAT